TGGTCGCGGTTCGCGTCAGCGTCCTCCTCCTGTCCCTGGCACGCACCGGATGTCTCTGCGTCCGTCCACTGCTCCTCTGCGTGCCCCTTTGCCTTCTCCTCCTTAGTCCTCTCTTCCTGCCCTTGCCGACCCGGAGTCGGACTCTCTTCGTGCTGCCAGTCCTACTGTCATGCGTCTCCTTGCTACTGTCGTCACTGACCCCTCTTTTGAGTCCACTGCTGCGTCTGCTCTTGTTGCTGAGCTCGTCGACTTTTGCTGCTCGCTGTCGTCTAGACTACACTGCTAGTCTCGTTGCTGAGTCTGCGTCTGTCTGTCCTCCGTCCGTTGGGGGTGAGTGTGCTCTTAGCACGGACGTCCTTGAGGACAGGCAGGAGGAGTTCCAGTGTCTGGCTGCTGCTTCACCTCATCTCGTGTCCGTACTGCTTACCCCTGAGGGAGACCCGGATGCACTTGACATCCTGACTCCGCGCTCTTACGCGGAGGCCGTAGAGGGTCCCTACTCCTCTCAGTGGCAGGCAGCTATGGATGCAGAGATGGCTTCCTGGAAGTCCACAGGCACCTACATTGACGCGGTTCCCCCACCTGGGGCGAACATCGTTTGTGGCATGTGGATCTTCAGGGTGAAGCGGCCGCCGGGCTCTCCGCCTGTCTTCAAGGCGCGGTACGTGGCTCGTGGCTTCAGTCAGCGGCAGGGAGTTGACTACTTTCAGACCTTCTCTCCTACCCCGAAGATGACCACTCTTCGGGTGCTGCTGGACATAGCCGCTCAGCGTGACTACGAGCTTCACTCCCTTGACTTCAGCACTGCTTTCCTCCAGGGTAGCCTGCACGAGGAGATCTGGCTGCGCCGTCCACCTGGCTTCACTGGGACTTTCCCTCTTGGCACCCTGTGGAGCCTCCGACGGCCAGTCTACGGTCTCCGCCAGGCACCGCGCGACTGGCACGACACACTGAGGACTACGCTTGCGGCTCTTGGGTTTGCTCCCTCTACTGCTGACCCGTCGCTGTTTCTACGCACCGACACCTCTTTGCCGCCGTTCTACATCCTCGTGTACGTCGACGACTTGGTCTTTGCCACTGCTGACACTGCTGGACTCGCCCACGTGAAGTCCTGAGCTGCAGAAGAGACACACGTGCACAGACCTGGGTGAACTGCGCAGCTACCTTGGCTTGCAGATCACCCGGGGCAGAGCACGCCGCACCATTACCCTGACTCAGTCACACATGGTGCAGCAGGTCCTTCAGCGCTTCGGCTTCACGTACTCCTCGCCTCACGCCACTCCTCTGCCTACTCGCCACTCGCTCTCAGCTCTGCCTTCGGATGAGTCCGTAGAGTCGAGTGGCCCGTATGCAGAGCTTGTTGGCTGCCTCATGTACCTGATGACCTGCACACGACCTGACCTTGCATACCCTCTTAGCATTCTTGCACGCTATGTTGCTCCTAGGAGACACCAACCAGAGCACATGGCTGCAGCGAAGAGGGTGTTGCGCTACTTGTGCAGTACGTCGGGCATGGGGCTAGTGCTTGGACGGCAGAGTCCAGTGGTCCTCAGTGGGCACGCGGACACTTCTTGGGCTGACGATCAGGCTACGCAGCGGTCGTCACAGGGTTACACCTTCAGCCTTGGTTCCGGCTCTGTTTCGTGGCGGGCTACTCGCTCGTCTTCTGTTCTCGGCTCCAGTTGTGAGGCCGAGATCTACGCCGGGGCCATGGCTGCACAGGAGCTTCGCTGGCTCACCTACCTGCTGACCGGCCTTGGAGAGCCGCCTCGTTCTCCTCCAGTGCTGTACGTAGACAACAAGGCCATGCTGGCCTTGTGTCGAGAGCAGAGACTGGAGCACAGAACAAAGCACATTGCTCTTCGCTACTTCCTTGCTCGTGAGCTACAGCAGCGTGGTCAGTTGCGGCTTGCGTACGTGGCCTGTGAGGCCAACACTGCTGATGTTTTCACTAAGGCACTTGCGCCTTGTGATCATCAGCGCTTCTGTACTCAGCTTGGTCTTGTGCCTGTCTTGCCTCACTTGCTCACTTCTTGACCTTGCTTGTACTGTCACATATATATACACCTGCTCTTGTTTGCTGAGCCTCTTATATATATATATGTGCTCCTGCATGTGAACTGGCCTTCTGGCCTTGAACTTGTGCTCGGAATGTGTGGTGAATTTGTGATCCACCCTGAGCTTTGCTTTGCTTTGCTTGACTGGTCTTGTGACCCCTTGTTCTCCCCCACTTTGCCGATGGGGGTGTGTCAAATTACAGTATAATGTTGTCTAGGCTTTAGTGGGGTAGCCCATATGGGGTACACATTTCTAGGGTTGCATATTTGTATCACTTTCATTCCATAGTCATCCCATTCTCGTTCTAATTTCCTCACTAGGGGCGTGCACCAGCATGGCGCTCCGGCTCTGCAATCCGAACTTCGGTTTCAGGAACGGCACTACGCTTGCATCTAGCCACTCGATGACGCCCGAGGCCTCCATCCACCTGTTAGCTTGGCAGTCGACCACGACATCTGCATACAAGCAAGCGGTGGTTGGATTTTACTTTTGTTTTTCCCCTTAGAAACACGCGCATACGCAGCTTCTTATTGTTCGGGAAGTCACCCTTTGGGAGGGTCTTGCGCTTGAAAAACACCCACGGCTTCAACTTCTCGCCTGTCGCCGTGCACGCGAGCATCAAACTGACTTTCTCTTTCTAGGTAACCACCGCTGCGGATGGGCACCGACTTCACACCCGTCTGTTCCATCGTGGTAGTCGCCGGCATCTCCAGCCACAAGGGCGTCTGGTCGGCATTGATGATGTACCGATTTTCGATGTCGTACTCGTGGCGTGCGTCTCGGACAAACTGCCAAAATTCCTTGCACTGCTTTGCCACGTCTGCGCACGGGGACGGAGGGACGGTTAAAAGGGCGGATGAGCACCGCTACAGATAAACAGACATGGGCAAGAAAGTATTGAGATACAAGATAAAATTTCACAATATGATGACAGTGCACTAAGGGCCACTTACGCTGTTGTGTCTTTTGCGCCACCTTTGTTTTCATGCGCACAGGTGAGATTCCACCGCTTGCGGAACCAGCTCAGTCCTGCGCTGACTCGCCTTCCACTTGACGTCCGGGAACAACACCTTCATCACCTCTTTTGACCAGTCTTGCAGCCGGCCGACTGATACTGCCACACCGCGGCGTCGCCAGTCCAGGAGTTTGGCGTACACCTTCATCTCCATGGGTCTGTACCAGGAAGACCTTCCGCGCCCATGAAGTCGACACCGAGCGCTGTGTGCAGCCTTGAGCTCCTCCGCTTGGTTTTTCCACCCCGTGAGGCATTTGCGGTGTATGCCGGACTCCTACACGACCTGCATTATCGATGCCGCAAGCTCCAGCCGAACGAGCCACTTCAATTTCTCCTGGGCTGTGTAGCGCTGCCGTTTGTGTTGAGCCGGCTTGTGCCTGGGAGAGGGGGGGCGGGCATCTCGGTTCTCAGAGTAGGGGTGGGGTCGTTTTTTGTTAATCGGCGGATAAATTGGTATCGGCATCTTCTCGCGTGGTGCATCGCGCCACCAAGATTCCACATCATCATCGCCCGCGTCTGTAGCTTCACGATCTGGGAACACGTCCTCCTCGGCGCCCTCTTCACCGTCGACTCCACCGTCGCCTCCGGCGTTGCCGTCTCATGTGGGTTGTTTATCGGCGCCCACAGCCGACTCGTCCCACGTGCAGGCTTCAGGATTTCCCCACCGCGGTGCAGTCGGCGGAGCATCGATTCGCCTAGCCTTGGGTGTGTCCGGTTCAGACAGCCACTCGTCGAAAGTGGCTGGCAAATACAACTGGAGCACGGGCCGATGGTGAGAATTCGCGTCAGGAACAGGAGGAGTCGGAGGATTCGGAGGAGCGGGAGGAGCAGGAGGTGCAGGAGGAGCAAGCGGAGCAGGCGGTGCAGGGGGTGTAGGTGGCACTGGAGGCGCTGGTGGTTCACGTGTATACCACCCGTCCGAGGTTAGTCGCCACGCGCGAGCTGGTTTCTTCTTGAAAAGGAAGTGCGTCCCACTGAATTCCGCCATGGCTTCGCCAGCCAGGCGGGCTAGACTAGAAACTGAATGAAAAAAATGAGGAGGAGGGTGCAGAAATGGGCAACGACGGGGACCCCTGCGGGCTAGCGGCTCGGGGTCCTCGTCAATGACAGGCAGGAAACCCCCGCCTACCGCCGTAGAGGAACCTCCGTGGCAGCATATTCGCTGCGCTGGCAGGGAATCTTCCCCACCCTTCGAGAGGGTTCGGAAGAAATGCGGATGCCACGCAGTGCATGCGGCTGTGATTGGGCCGCACGGCAACATCCCCGTCACTGCTGTCACGTTCGATGGTTCTAGACAACTTTGTGCGGTGGGAAACCGAACCGCAAGGTGTTTTTGCATGGAAACCATGCACGATCCCACTTGTTGCATGGTCCGTTGGATTCGTCTTATTGCAGGCTTCAGTTTAGTATGAATTTCATTTTTTCCTTATTATAGGCGCATGAGCTTATACAAACACCTCAATTAGAAGCGCACCCTCTCACTTTAGTATGTTTTCGGTTTCCCGGTTTCCCGGTATCCCGGCTTCCCGGCTTCCCGGTATCCCGGTTTCCCGGTATCCCGGTTTTACGGTATCCCGGTATCCCGGTTTCCCGGTATCCCGGTATCCCGGTTTCCCGGTATCCCGGTTTCCCGGTATCCCGACCCAGTTTCCCGGTTTCCCGGTATCTATTTTATTATAAGCGCACCTGCGCTTTTATCCGGGGTAATACATGGTATCTCTTTGCTATTATCAACTCATCTAGTTCTCACACACCAGTGCAAGGTGGTTCAACTAGTTCTCATTAAACGCTTCCGCTAATACATCACCATCCTGTGTCTTAGTCTTGAAAACGATCCTAAGGGCTTTTTTCTCAGCCCAACAGAAGTGACCTACCATATCACAATCACTTGCCACGCCACCGCCACCATCACGAGGCAAGTGTCAACCTACACGTGCTTCAGCTGCTCCACCTTGGCCAGAACCTTCCTGGAAATCTCCTTGAGCAGGCGCTCAACCGCCTTGGGGTCCTTGGCCCGCAGCGCCACCTCCCCGCCCTTGCCCGCCTTGGCCTTGCCCTTGCTGTCCACGGGCTCACTGAACGCCAGGTAGTACTCCATGTCGCACACGTCGGCCAGCAGGTGGAACACGGGGTCGGGGTCGTCCACGGGGCGGATCTCCAGCACGGCGGCGCCGGGCGGCATGAAGACGAGGTCAGCCAGCAGGTTGTCGTGCGGCGCCACCAGCAGGTGCGCGCGGTTCAGCAGGTCCTTGCGGCGCGGGATGCTGTGCGCGCCCTCGCGGTACACCACCACGCGGTCGGCGGGGAAGAGCTCCTCCAGCTGCTCCTTGAGGCGCAGCGACCGCAGCAGCTCCTCGCGCGAGTTCTTCCACCCCAGCAGCACCACCCAGTCGTTGCGCGGCGTGAACGAGTCCTTGGGCGGCGGGTTCTCTGCTACTGCTGTGGGGCGGTAGTCTGAGGGGGAAAGAGGAGAGTGGAGCGCAGTGCAGCGTGGGCATGTGGATTGGTTGGCCGGTTGGTTGGTTATGAAAGTGGCATGTAGAATGAAAGCAAGGAGGAGCGTTGGACCTGCCTGAACGTGAGTCCATCTGGGAGGACTCTGAAGCCACACCAAGCGGGAGCTGGGAGAGGGGGGCTCACCAGAGGGGCGCTCACCAGAGGGGCGCTCACCAGAGGGGCGCTCACGAGAGAGAGAGTGGCTCACCAGAGTAGAACATGGGGAGGCCGTTCTTGGGCAGGAAGTGGTGGTTGCGGATGTACTGCCACATGGCGCGCGATGGTTGGCCGCAGCGCTGGTGCAGCGGCTGCGGTGGTGAGGGCCAGGGGGGAGGGTAAGGTGTAAGATGAGATGGGAAGCAAAGAGAGGAGGGAGAGGGCGCCAGGTGATGAACCGAGGGCAGGCATGACAACCAACAGAGGCGCATGCAGGGGTGGGCGTGCAGGGGTGGGCGTGCAGGGGTGGGCATGGGTGGCAGTGGAGTGGCGCATCGGACAATTCGTGGCACCCTTGCTTGCAGGGGTGGTGCGAATGAGGGATGAGGGGGAGGTTTAGAGTACAGTTCGGTGCATGGCAGCAGCGGGCAGGGACGAGAGGGAGGGAGGGGTGGAGGCGTGCATGGGAAGCTGGACAGCACACATGCACCTGTGCATGGGAAGCTGGACAGCACACATGCACCTGTGCATGGGAAGCTGGACAGCACACATGCACCTGTGCATGGGAAACTGGACAGCACACATGCACCTGTGCATGGGAAGCTGGACAGCACACATGCACCTGTGCATGGGAAGCTGGACAGCACACATGCACCTGTGCATGGGAAACTGGACAGCACACATGCACCTGTGCATGGGAAGCTGGACAGCACACATGCACCTGTGCATGGGAAGCTGGACAGCACACATGCATGCCGATTCCTTCAACCCTGCAGCCCCTCAGACCTTGCAGTGAGGTTTCAGGGTATCCCCAAATCCGACTGCAAGTCCATCACTTCACTCACAGCACCATGGCACTCCACCTCCACGGTGCCCCATCTCGCCAGGGCGCAACACCCTCCCCACAACCCCACTCCCACCTCCTCCTTTCCCATCCCAATGGCACCCCCCATCCCCCAAAACGCACGCCACCCCCCAAGGCACACCCATCTCCCCCCACCCCCGTGTGAGCGCACGAGAATGAGCTTCTCAGCGAAGAAGAGGTCGGCGCCCTGCAGCACGTGCACGTTCATGCGGGAGAGCTGCACGCCCAGAATGTCCTCGGCGCCCAGCGCCAGCATCTGCTGCATCTGGTTGCGCCGGTGCGTGAGGCGGTGCCCCACCGCCACCGCCACGCCCCTCATCGCCGCCATCACCTGCACCGGGTGGGGCGCACGGGCGGTGGGGAGGGATCCGAGGGAAGGACGGGGGACAGGAAGGACAGCAGAGGGCAGACGAGGGTGGAGAGAGGGTGGGGTGAGGAGGAGGGGGGAAATGGGTTGGGAGCACACAGGTTTGAGAAGGGGAGGGTGAGGGCATGAGGTAGAGCAGGGCGGCTTGAGAAGGTGTGGCAGCAACTGGCGGTGGAGGTGAGGCACTGCAAGCGTTGCTCTCGCGTGCCGCCGCCTGATGACCAGTGCTCGTGGCCAATGAGATGGGCGAGGGTGGCAATGTGGAGCGGCACACACCTGTCTGACACGCACGCACGCACCTTCCTAAGGGAGACGAAGAGCGGGATGAGCTCGAGCAGGTAGGCGCGGGCGGACCAGGCGAACCAGTCGACGAGCGACACGAGCTCCTTGAAGCGCCGCACGCGCGTGCGCCCGGAGGCATAGCGGAAGTTGGCGGCGGCGAGCGTGACGGAACAGGCGTTGTGGTCGAAGAGGTGCGTCTCGTTGAACACCTGCCCTGCCAGGTTCACATACACGTTGTGTAGCACCAGCACCTGGAACAAGGGGTGAGGGGGGTTGGAATGGGGGCGTGGGGTGATAGGAGAGGGAGTGTGGGAGGGGTTGAGTGTCATTGATCACCTGCCCTGCCACGCTCACATGCACTTGTGCAGCACCAACACAACACCTGCCCGGCCACAGGGGTGTGGGGGAAGAGGTGGGGAGGGGATTTGGGTGGGGGGAAGGGAGGGAGTTTTTGTAAGGGTGAGGCGCACTCACGCCATGTGGTGGAGTGGCGGACACTGGCAGGTGGGCGGCGAGCAGCGGAGCAGTGCAGTGCACTCAGGGGGGGGTGGTTGGGATGAGCAGGTGTGTGAGGGGGGGGGGGGGGGGACAGGGCTACGGGGGAGGAGGGGGATGAAGGGGTTGTGGAGAAGCACAAGGCAAGTGGGACGAGGGAGGGCAAGGGGAGCAGCGACCAATTGTAAGCGCGCAACAGTGTTTGTGGAGGGAGTGGTGGGAGTGGTGGGAGAGGAGGGAGAGGAGGGAGAGGAGTGAGAGGAGGGAGTGGAGGGAGTGGGGGGAGTGGGGGGAGTGGTTCGAGTGAACAAAGCATCAACTAGCAGGTCCCTTCCCACCCTTCCCCTGCCCCCCAGTCCCCCAGCCCCTCTCCCCTGTTCCCCCTGTCCCCACACTTGTGCGGCACACTTGGGGTGGGTGGGGTTGGAAGTCCGTCTCCTGAATGCAGCTCGCATGGTGACCTTTCAGTCGCCTCAAAACCCCCCCCTCCCCAAATCCCCCCGTTCCTCCCCTTTACCTGCGCGGCCCACTTGGGGTGGGGTTGGAAGTCCGTTTCCTGGATGCAGCTCTCGTCCAGCGACGGGCAGTTGGCGGGGTACCGCGTGGGCGTGCGGGAGCTGTCCGCCAGGGGCGCCTCCCAGCACGACCCCACGCCGGGGAGCCTTTCATACGCAAACTCAAAGTCGGGGCACGGGGGGCCGCGTGACGCGCGTGGCGGGGGGGCGCCCTTGGGTTTGGGCTTGGTCTCGTCGGAGAAGCGCGTGGCGTCGAGGTGCACGCGCTTGAGCAGCGTGCGCGAGATGTCCACCGTCAGGTACGACCGCTGGGGTGTGCCGCCCTCCAGGGGGAACTGCCCGTCCACCGGCTTCCAGTGCGCGTGTGGCGCGCTCAGGAACGCGCTCTCCCCCGCTCCTCCTCCGCCCGCCGCTCCCCCGCCCCCCTCTATCCCTCCCCCTCCCCCAACTGCTGCTGCTGCTGCTGTGCCCGAGGTGGCGCCCTCCGCGCCCCACTGCTGCTGGGGGAGCGCCTGGGCTGCCGTGCCACTGCTCCACCCGCTGCTCTCCCGGCCCCCTGCGCCACCCCACTGCCCGCCCTGTCCGCCTTGCCCGCCGTGCTGCATGGGCAGTGCCCCCTGCGGCATCGTCTGCTGGGGCTCACCCATCCCGCCCGCCGCTCCCCCTCTCAATCCGCCCCACCCGCCCCCGCCAGTTGCCATTCCCCCAGCTCCTCCGCCTATCCCGCCCGCCCCCTCCCCGCCTGGCATTTGAATCCCCCCGCCTGCCCCCCATCCGCCCCCCTGGTGTGGAAACCCGTTCCCCCCTCTCCCCGCGTCCCACCCTCCAGCGGCCCCTTGCTGCCCCCATCCCCCTCCCTGCGCCCCCCCCAGCCTATCCCCGCCCGCCAGCTGCCGCGGCCCTCCCCCGTCGTTCCGCCAGTCCCCCCCGCCAGCGCCCTGCCACCCGCCCGCCGCGCCCTCAAACCCGCGCCGATCCCCAAACTGCCCCCCGGCGCCTCCCCACTCCCCCCTCCCCATTGCGCCCCCGCGCGCGCCCCACTGGTCCTCCCCGCCCATCCAGCGCTCGTCCATTCCGCCCGCGCCCCCGCCCCGCCATGCGCCCATGGGCCCGCCGTGGCGGTACCCCGAGGAGTAGTCGGAGCGCGCGAGGAGGAAGTAGAAGAGCATTCCCGCGCCGCCCAGGAGCAGCAGCGAGCGCATCGACGCCCACCGCGCGTGCCCTGCGTGCGCGTCGGCGGAGCTGCTTGCGCGATCGGAGGCGCGCACGACCGCCTTCTTCTTCGGGCGCGGGGCCATCGCGCGCTGTGCAGGGGGAGGGGGAGCGGACGGGATGGGGGGAGAGATGGGGAATGCGGAAGGGAAAAATCAGGAGACGGAAGATCGGGCGAGCAATAGGAAACTGTGAGAGCTACCATCCTTGATGTTGCATGCCGTCGCACTCACCGGTTTGTCGCAGTGCACGACAGGCGCACCAGTCAAGAATAAGTTAGACCGGACGTCAAGTGGATGACTGGGAGACGGCGGCAATGCGCGCGAGAATGTGCGGTCGGAACGTGTAGCATCTAAGGCGCCTCGAAAAAAAGTTGATGCAGAATGTGAAGGAAAAAACGAAGAAGAAGCGCGCCAACGGGGATCAGGGAGGAGAAGGCGAGGAAGGAGAAAGGAGCTACTCGGTGATGGTGTCGTGGCGCGAGTAATGGAAAGCCGTGCGATGGATTCCCAGGTGGTTGAGGATTGAAGTGATGGGGTTGGACTTTGTACCCGCTATAGAATACTACCGTATTACGGATCAGTCGGGCGAGCTGAGAAATTGCACATACTATGGGGCTTTATACAGCCCTTTCACATCTTGATCTAGTTTAATCATAATGTTTCCACTTACTCAGCACTACATCTTGTGCGAGCTCCCCAACTCCAAACACTCACATATTAACATCACCTGCAGCTTGGCAACTTGGCTGGCTTCAAAGGCTTGTCATGTCAGGCTAAGCAACCCCAGTGTGCATTCTCGTTGTAAAGTCTTGTCGTCATTTATTCATTCCCATTCTCAACCGACTGCCAAATGGCTGCACTGAGCATTTATTCATTTATTTATTGCTTCCAGTGCACCACGAGCGAGAGCCACGCTCTAAGCCGTCTGCATGCAGTGGTGACTGGGCTGCCTCTCCCGTGCTTGGATGCTTCCAGCTTGCGGGCACACAACGGTGAAGTCCCTTCCCCTCCCCGTGCACCACGAGTGAGAGCCACGCTCTACGCTGTCTGCACGCGCAGAGAGGGCTGCCTCTCCCCTGCCTGCGGGCGCACGATGGTGAAGTCCACGCGCGTGCAGAACAGATCTCGCCCGCTGCTGTCGCGCGCCTTGAGCCACAGTGTGTACGTGCCCTGTGGTCGCCGGCAGGGAGGTGAGGGTATGAGGCAGGAGAGTGCTCACAGCAAGTGCGATTCAGGTCACAGTTCGCATGATTAAGGGCAGTGCTCACAGCGGGGGTGAGGAAGGGCAGTGCTCACAGCGGGGGTGAGGAAGGGCAGTGCTCACAGCGGGGGTGAGGAAGGGCAGTGCTCACAGCGGGGGTGAGGAAGGGCAGTGCTCACAGCGGGGGTGAGGAAGGGCAGTGCTCACAGCGGGGGTGAGGAAGGGCAGTGCTCACAGCGGGGGTGAGGAAGGGCAGTGCTCACAGCGGGGGTGAGGAAGGGCAGAGGCTGCTGATTGGAGAAGGTGAAGGCGCCTGGCAGCACGGGGCAGGGCGTCTTGTCACACAGCTGCACCGTGGACGTGTAGACCGGCCACCCGTAGTACGCCACACTCACCCTCACAACGCCCGACTGGATGCACGTCGCTGGAGGAGGGTGGGGCAGAGAGTGATGAAAGAAAAGGCAGAGGGTGGGGGTTGGGTAGAGCAGAGGTGGTGGTGGGTGGACGCGCCCATGGCGCACCATTGGACGCCACTGTGAGCGTCACTGCCGCTGCTGCTGTGGGCGGGGAAAGAAAGAGGTGTGGCTGAATGGGGCCGGGTGAGGAAGGGATGCAGCAAGGAGATGAGCCGAGGACGCGAGGGGCGCTGGGGAGCAGAGAAAGGGAGGAGGGAAAGGGGAGAATGATATATTTCTTATTATTTTTTTATTTTGTACACACGTAGTACGCAACCTACAGGCACCAACCCCCTGTCACTCACACACACACGCACGCACGCACGCACGCACGCACGCACGCACGCACGCACGCACACGCACACACAGCACACACACACACACACACACACACACACACACACACACACACACACACACACACACACACACACACACACACACACACCTGTGACGGCGGGCAGCACAACGGTGAAATCCGAGCCGGCAACTGGCGGGTCGGGCAGCATGGTGACGTTCTTCACGGTGACGGCCACATGCTGGGAGCCTGGGGCAGGATGCAGCGGAGGGGAATGGCAAGCGGTTGAGGAGAGGGAAGAAGAGAAGGTCCGTGAAGGCCTGATGATGACACCTGGACTCATCATCACACCTGACCTCATCATGACACCTGACCTCATCATGACACCTGGCCTCATCATGACACCTGGCCTCATCATGACACCTGGCCTCATCATCACACCTGGCCTCATCATGACACCTGGCCTCATCATGACACCTGACCTCATCATGACACCTGGCCTCATCATCACACCTGGCCTCATCATGACACCTGACCTCATCATGACACCTGGCCTCATCATGACACCTGGCCTCATCATCACACCTGAGCTCATCATGACACCTGGCCTCATCATGACACCTGACCTCATCATGACACCTGGCCTCATCATGACACCTGACCTCATCATGACACCTGGCCTCATCATGACACCTGACCTCATCATGACACCTGGCCTCATCATGACACCTGACCTCATCATGACACCTGGCCTCATCATGACACCTGGCCTCATCATGACACCTGGCCTCATCATCACACCTGGCCTCATCATGACACCTGGCCTCATCATGACACCTGACCTCATCATGACACCTGGCCTCATCATCACACCTGGCCTCATCATGACACCTGACCTCATCATGACACCTGGCCTCATCATGACACCTGGCCTCATCATCACACCTGACCTCATCATGACACCTGGCCTCATCATGACACCTGACCTCATCATGACACCTGGCCTCATCATGACACCTGACCTCATCATGACACCTGGCCTCATCATGACACCTGACCTCATCATGACACCTGGCCTCATCATGACACCTGACCTCATCATGACACCTGGCCTCATCATGACACCTGGCCTCATCATGACACCTGGCCTCATCATGACACCTGACCTCATCATGACACCTGGCCTCATCATCACACCTGGCCTCATCATGACACCTGGCCTCATCAGGACACCTGGCCTCATCATGACACCTGGCCTCATCATGACACCTGACCTCATCATGACACCTGACCTCATCATGACACCTGACCTCGTCATGACACCTGGCCTCATCATCACACCTGGCCTCATCATGACACCTGACCTCATCATGACACCTGACCTCATCATCACACCTGGCCTCATCATCACACCTGGCCTCATCATGACACCTGGCCTCATCATGACACCTGGCCTCATCATGACACCTGGCCTCATCATGACACCTGACCTCATCATGACACCTGGCCTCATCATGACACCTGACCTCATCATGACACCTGGCCTCATCATCACACCTGGCCTCATCATGACACCTGGCCTCATCATGACACCTGACCTCATCATGACACCTGGCCTCATCATGACACCTGGCCTCATCATGACACCTGGCCTCATCATGACACCTGACCTCATCATGACACCTGACCTCATCATGACACCTGGCCTCATCATGACACCTGGCCTCATCATGACACCTGGCCTCATCATGACACCTGGCCTCATCATGACACCTGGCCTCATCATGACACCTGGCCTCATCATGACACCTGGCCTCATCATGACACCTGACCTCATCATGACACCTGGCCTCATCATCACACCTGGCCTCATCATGACACCTGGCCTCATCATGACACCTGGCCTCATCATGACACCTGACCTCATCATGACACCTGGCCTCATCATGACACCTGACCTCATCATGACACCTGGCCTCATCATGACACCTGGCCTCATCATGACACCTGGCCTCATCATCACACCTGGCCTCATCATGACACCTGACCTCATCATGACACCTGGCCTCATCATGACACCTGGCCTCATCATGACACCTGGCCTCATCATGACACCTGGCCTCATCATGACACCTGGCCTCATCATGACACCTGACCGCGAGTTACTGTGAAGAGGATGGAAGTAAGCAAAAACGAACAGAGGAGAGAGTTGATTGAAGGAGGTGATTGAAGGAGGTGATTGAAGGAGGTTATTGAAGGAGGTGGGTCGGAGAGGTGCGTAGCGAGTGGGAGAGGCGAGGGCGAGGAGGCGAGATGGGGAGGAGGTGCACGCAAGGAAAGAGAGGAGTCATGGGCACACGCGCATGGGGGCAGGGCAACGGCACTGGGGTTTGACAGCAAGGCGAAGGTGTGTGCGGCGAGAAGGGCTACTGTCGGAAAGAGTGTCACCACAATCGTGCCACTGAGCTGCGTTCACGTGGCAGGTGAGCGAAATCGCAATCGCAAGCACGAGTGAGAGGAGGCACGGCACCAGGAGGAGCAACGCCATGGCTGGCTGGGCGGACGTCAGTGCAGCACAAGACACAGGGGGGGAGGGGAGGGACCAAGTAAGCAAGGAATCCCGCATCCTTCACATTTAAGGCTCAGAAGTTTAAGAGAACGTCTACATTCGCTATTGGCGATTTCCTGACACCCTCGTCCCAGAGGCGAAGTAATTTTCTCCAACACCTCTCATCAGTGGTGGCCCAATCACATATCGTTAGTGAGACGTGAGGATACGCCACTCGCTCCTTATTCTGTAAACGAGCACATCTAGACTCGCAAACCGGCAGTGTGAAAAGGGAGAGTCCGAGAAGCAAATGCCTGAAATAAGGTTACGGTGTTTACGCGCATGCGCCAAGGCCTCGCCCGCCCTCTCACTCTCGCGGAGGTCACGCCGCCGTAACACACACGGCACGCTGGTGAAACGACACTAGCCACGCCCACCCGCTGTCAACCACACGGCACGCTGGTGAAACGACACTAGCCATGCCCACCCGCTGTCAACCACACGGCACGCTGGTGAAACGACACTAGCCACGCCCACCCGCTGTCAACCACACGGCACGCTGGTGAAACGACACTAGCCACGCCCACCCGCTGTCAACCACACGGCACGCTGGTGAAACGACACTAGCCACGCCCACCCGCTGTCAACCACACGGCACGCTGGTGAAACGACACTAGCCACGCCCACCCGCTGTCAACCACACGGCACGCTGGTGAAACGACACTAGCCACGCCCACCCGCTGTCAACCACACGGCACGCTGGTGAAACGACACTAGCCACGCCCACCCGCTGTCAACCACACGGCACGCTGGTGAAACGACACTAGCCACGCCCACCCGCTGTCAACCACACGGCACGCTGGTGAAACGACACTAGCCACGCCCACCCGCTGTCAACCACACGGCACGCTGGTGAAACGACACTAGCCACGCCCACCCGCTGTCAACCACACGGCACGCTGGTGAAACGACACTAGCCACGCCCACCCGCTGTCAACCACACGGCACGCTGGTGAAACGACACTAGCCACGCCCACCCGCTGTCAACCACACGGCACGCTGGTGAAACGACACTAGCCACGCCCACCCGCTGTCAACCACACGGCACGCTGGTGAAACGACACTAGCCACGCCCACCCGCTGTCAACCACACGGCACGCTGGTGAAACGACACTAGCCACGCCCACCCGCTGTCAACCACACGGCACGCTGGTGAAACGACACTAGCCACGCCCACCCGCTGTCAACCACACGGCACGCTGGTGAAACGACACTAGCCACGCCCACCCGCTGTCAACCACACGCCACACCACCTCTGCCTCCCGCCTCGCCACCTCTCACGGCCTCGCCTCGACGCCCTTCAAAAGGGCCTCGCCTCTCCACCATTCGAGGCCTAGCTAGTCGTCCCAACACGGCCTCGTCCCCTTCCATTCGACGCCGCGCCCCGCCTCCTCTGGCGGCCTCACTGTGCCTCGATTTGATTCCGCGCCTCCGCTCCCCTCACGATCTCGTTTCACCTTGCCTCGCAGGTTTCCGGCGCATAACCCCTGCCCCCCCTTCCTTTCCTTCTCATCTTCCCGACCTTCCTTCCTATCACACCTCTCTTCCTTCACGTCTCACCTGCCTTCCTTCCTTCCCATCCTTCTCTCTCTTCTTTCCCATCTCAGCTCCCTCCTTCCCTCCCTTCTCTCTCTTCTTTCCCATCTCAGCTCCCTCCTTCCCTCCCTTCTCTCTCTTCTTTCCCATCTCAGCTCCCTCCTTCCCTCCCTTCTCTCTCTTCTTTCCCATCTCAGCTCCCTCCTTCCCTCTCTTCCCTCTCTTCTTTCCCATCTCACCTCCCTTCCTTCCCTACTTCTCTCTCTTAGTTCCCATCTCACCTCCCTTCCTTCCCTACTTCTCTCTCTTCTTTCCCATTTCACCTCCCTTCCTTCCCTACTTCTCTCTCTTAGTTCCCATCTCACCTCCCTTCCTTCCCTACTTCTCTCTCTTAGTTCCCATCTCACCTCCCTTCCTTCCCTTCTTCTCTCTCTTCCTTCCCAAATCACACCCCTTCCTTCCCTTCTTCTCACTCTTCCTTCCAATCTCACCTCCCTCCCTTCCCTTCTTCTCTTTCTTCTTTCCCATCTCACCTCTCTGCCTTCCCATCTCTACTACCTACCTTCCCGTCCTCCCCCCCCCTCCTCCCCCCCCTCCTTCTCAACTCCCCACCCTGCCTTCCCATCTCCCGTCCCTTCCTTCCCATCACCCCTTTCCTCCTTGTTAGCTCACCTTGGTTACAGTTCAAAGAAGTGTCGAAGAAGGGATGCGCGACGATGGGAACGGAGGCTCGATGAGAGAGGGTAGGCTCGACAAAATCAGGGGAGCCGCGACGAGGCGGGGAGGCGCGACGAAAGGAAACGCGACGAAGGAGGGGCGGCGCGACGAACGGAGGGGAGGCGCGACGGAGGAGGCGCGACAATTGCACGGGAGGAGCGCAGAGGATTTGAGGTGCTTCGACGAGTTGAGGCACCGCGAGTTGCGAGAGATCTTGATACTAATGCCCTTAATAGCGAATTCGTAAACCTGGCGAGTAATGACCCTTCCAGCTCTCCGAGGCGATAAATTCTTAGGGCGTGCTATAAGATTTCATTCGGTTGCGATCGGAATGTGCATGCACTAACAGTTTGTATGGGCGCGTAACTATTTTGTCCTTACGGTTCGTTCTTCGAAGTCCGTTCTAAACGGTGTGTGATTGGTCGTCACTGCCTTCGCAAATAACCTTACGGATTTGCGAGGGCAGTGACGACCAATCACATGACGGTTTGTTTTTGACGAAATTGCAACCGTCATAAATTGCAACGCGCCTCTATAAGTTCTTTGCGTTTAGGTAGCGTAAGGAGAAACATTGATCCCGTATGACACGCCCTTACTGTCACACAGATTAGGGGATGTCAACTCGTACGTTTAGTATACGTTCTTCGAGCTTATCTGTTATGTAGAAGGCTCATACCATTCTGCACCGTAAATAATCGCCCTAAGCCACGAGTAATGAGTGGTAACTCGTTTGAACCCCCGCCATGTAGTTTCACACACCTGCAAATGGGGAGTCACGTTTGTCTCCAGAACCAGGCCAGCCCTGCAAATGGGGAGGTACGATTTCGGAGACTCAGGCCGCGGTACATTTTTGAATCTAACGCGACAAATCAAGCCCAGACTCATGTCAAGTGGGATTGAGCCTCGTTCGAGATTGACGTGACTCGTTCGAGCCTCGCTATGCTGGCGGGGGGGTACATCACCACTGTCGCACATGTCTCAGTTTCGCACAACTCTTGTAACCCGCTTCAGAAATCGAATTGAGACGGCATTGAGCGAACATTCGGACCTCGCGTCAGAACCAAATTTTCGCTCAGTGCCAAATATTGTACGCTGAAGTGTGAGCAACTCTCCGCGGGTTTATGTGGGTGGAAGTCTCGATGAGCAACCAGACCCTTCCCACGTAATAACACACCGAGAGTTGCACGCATGATCTGGTCACCATTCCACAAGCCGCAACTGCTGTTTTGAAATCCCAAGTTTGGATATATTTTGCGTGCAACATGCCTTCCGCCTCATTGAATGGACTCTGCTACAACCGTACGTCAGCATCCCCGATGCCTGCGCGGACCACGTACTAAAACATGCCGAGAGTTGCACGCAAGATCCATAATATATCTGTTCATCGTTCCGCGAGCCGCTTACTGCTGCTTTTGATATCACCGACGTGCCTTCCACCTCATCGGATGGAGTTTACTACAGCCGAACAGTCGTTATCATCCCCAATGCCTGTGTGGACAACGTTACTATGTTTGTGCTGGTGGAATTTCTCACACCACAGGGGGAGATTTCGGCGTATAAGCGGGACTGAGATTATCACACTACACCTGCTCTGGCGCCAGCGTTTGAAAGACTAAGCTGTATTTTGACACCTCCGTTCTACTACTACCAATACGGCGCTTAGTACTCTCGAGAGGGTGATCACCCGCCACCAAGGCCTTCCCGAGCTCCTGTGCGTCCGTGGAATGAGGGACATGGGGAAACGGGATAGCGCATGATGTGAGAAAAAGGCAAGGGGTGCTCTTTGGTACTAGCACTAGTAGTACTACCAAGGCCCACCATGGAGCCGTTCTCCTCTGCGGCGTCCGCCGTGCAGCTCTCTGCTCCTCTGCTCCCCCTCTGCTCCTCCTTCTCCTCCTCCTCGTGCCGTTTCTCACCTCGTCTGTCGCCGCTTACTGCCTCGCAGCCTCCCAGTCCGCCCACCACGCCGCGTCGCAGCAACCAACGCTGCCAGTTCCAGTGCCACCAGTGCCACCAATGCCACCGCCACGGGTGCAGTCTCTGTCTCGTCGCAACCACATCACAAAAAACCTTGGTTTTTGAAGGGGGTTCGAAGGGGGGTACAGTTCAGGTGTTTTGGTTGGCGAAGTTCCGAAGCCAAATCGCGACCAATCACGGAATGAAATCGGACCGCGTTTGTTTGTCGAAGTCTAGATCGAATCCGCGACTCCGGTACATTGCCGTTTATTTGAAGCGTGCCAAATTTGTTGTGATTTTGTAATTGGTTTTTTAAGCTTTGACTTCCCTAAAATGTGTCTGCTTGAAAATATGCTGGCCATTTTATTACAAGATAAATGCATCACATTTGATACTTATTAAGGAGATAGGTACTGTCCAGGTGGAATGCCTTCACCACATGGACGTGGCGGAGCAGCGCTTCAATCGGAATCACGGAGTACGCGTACATTCCTGTCGTCCACTTGAGGCGAAGGCATCGTGTTGCTGTATCCTCTCCGCTTGCATTCCAATATCTAGCGTAAGCCAGCTCCTCCCTCTCTCCACGTATTTTTGTATGGAACAACAGAAGCAACCTTGCATACCACTCCTCTCTCCGACCATACCTTACACCCTCCACTGCAACATCCGAGTACCATGGCCTCTCAAAATAGTCAGGGGTCGCTCGAACGAAGTGAGAAACTCTCGAGAAGCTGGCGTCGTCTGCTGCAGGGATTGCCAGCGATTCATGGGCCTGCATAACAGTTGATGTTAGTCATGTATGATACGAGTCAGCCAAATGATGGTTGATTGCATAAACTTGCAACTACTTACTCGAATCTTGGTGACGCATCCTGCATAACGCATAAGCGCATCCTTGAGGGCAGCTTGGGCACGAGGGTGTTGCTTGGCCCACTTCCTTGCAAACCAGTTGGTGGAGGTGGGTTCTTGTGGTAACTCCACAGGGAGGAAGTATGACTCCTTGATGAGCGTCCGTGTGTCGGTCTCAATCGCCTGCCAACATATGCTATTGATATTATTACATTCTGCATTAATATCCATGCAATTCAAGCACTAAACATATTTACCTGCCGCATGGCGGTGTCCCGGCCAGCAGGATCATCCACCGGCACCACATCCGGAATGCGCCTAGCATGGAACTTCATGATCTGCCCATCTACATTGCGCTTGTTGGACCGACGGTAGATCCTCTTTACCAACGGTCCGTGCAAGTGCTCGAACATGTTGGTGCTGAATTCAGTCACATGACCCGCGCGACGTATGGAGTCAACGTAGTGCGACATGAGATGTGTTTTCACAAGGCACCAAGAGGATGGCTGCTTTGGAAACGCAGCCTGCAACTGCTCAACGAGCCTGATGGGAGTGGGAGATGACAACACATGCAATCATAGAGTCTACTTATTCATATGGTTTTCCTATTCCTGATCCTTTCCTATCAAAGTTTAGCACCAAACATCCTCACAAGATTGCCTACTACAAGAGCACATTTACAGTAGCCAAGCATTCATCCCATGCACGGGGGTTTACATGCGTGGTATTATTACCGAGAGGTCATCTTCTTCAGCTCCCGGAGGGACCGCTCAGTGTGCCCCTGAGGCTGGGAGCACAGGATGTACCAGCCAAGATAGGCACGAACAGCATTCATCTGGGGCTGGCGAAGCAGGCCTGCAAAAACAAACACCATGACCTTCAAAGAATGTGGATAGTAGCAAAGGGGAGGGTGAGCACAGATGGTGTGAGGAGTTGGGACAAACAATGGCAACATGAGCAGACTGTTTGAGGGTTTAGGCCAGGACAAGCAACAGGGAATAGAGGGTTCATACCTGCATGACGGCCCTGTGCTCATAGGCCGCCACACATGCTCCGGTCTCGAAGTAGGCCCTCTCCGGCAGGTGCATGTGATTCAGGCGCGTGCGGTCGCGAATGAGAGACAGGCGCCTACCCATACACATCAGTTCAGCGGTGGCAAAAGGGCAGAAACATGTCAGTAATAGGACAGAACTTATGGTTTGAGTAAATGTGACGAAGAGCAACGAATCCAATCCCCAAAACACTGACCTGTCCATCTGCTTCATACGCCGCTGCTTCATCTTGCGCACGATAGCCACAATGTGGCTCATGATGCCCAGGTCCGCCTGGTGCATGATGTCAGGCATCACCACGAGGTAGGGATTGCCCCACGCGGTCCCTGGGATATCCCACTTCCAGAGCATGCACTGGAAACGGGGATGTGGTGGGGAATGGAGGAGAGATGTACGTGAGAGTGGATAGCTAACCTAAACCACAAGTGGGGTGAGTTCAATGGGGCAGAGCACATCTGGCAATTCATGACGGGGCGGGCGAGAGCATAGACTACTCATGGGCCGGGGAAACAGGTCACTCACCTCAACAGGGTAGGTAGAGTAGGCCTTGCACGGGTCAGCCTGGCTAGATGTCGTCCCAGCCGCCTCGTTAACGATCCATTGCTGCTGTTCAGGCGTGCGCGGCGTGTTCCGTGCCTTGACAGCACTCAGATGCTCCTGTTGTAGCACGAGGGTGAGGGATGGGATAGAAAAGGTAAGGGTGGTAGCTATGTGGGTTCTATCAGGCGACCCACAAACGAGAATGTATTTGAATGCATGCAGATGGCATGTGACCTTACCTTTGCAGCATAGCAGATGCTGCACGGCATCCGCGATCCATGCGAGAGTGTGCAACTGATCTTGCCGCTCTCGGGGTAGTCGCACACCCAGGCGTACAGCAGGGGCCGCACGGTTTGCCAATCACCGAAAGGGTCCCTAAGACGGAACCCGCTGCAAGGAACAGGTAGAGGGGCAACAGGAATTCGGGTTACGGCTTTTAGGGAGGAACGACGAGGGGCAAAGGGCCATGCTACATACAGAGAGGGTTTGCATACCATGCAGGTGGTGAGATGATGTCTTAGCAAGATGCAAACCGAGTACGGACCTGGCGATGCCATCAAGAAGCGGCTGCAGCACGGTGATGACGCAACGCTAGAAGAGCATCACCTTCTCCACGGCAGACATTGCAGACGGGGGGATAGGAAGGAGGGCAAGTAGTGTGTGCCCGGCTTTCCCCCATCCCTTGGCCTGGGAGATGTTGGCCAGCGTCATCATGAGCGGCCACGCCTTCTTCCGGCCGTTGATGCTCATGTGCGTCACATCCGAATATAAGATCATCCCCCCCCACAACTTCGGACCAACCGAAGTGTTCCTGCAGTGCACGACAAAGCGGCAACAGACACACGGTTTAGGGCTCAAGATGCTCTTGACAGATCAGTGCAGTGATGGAGGCATGAGGAAGGATTGGGTTTGGGGTGGCAACGTGGTCTTTCCTTACCTGAGCATCGTTCCACCACGTTCCTGTTTCAGGCGTGGTATAGCGACGGCCGCCTGCGTCAGGGTCCTCATCAACACGCGCCTTGAGCTTGAAGCCGGGCGCGTTGTTGGGATGTCCAAACATTTCAGCGAATGCCTGGTGTACGGTGGCGAAGGCAGGTGAGAGGAGAGGCATGGTTAGTGGCGGTGAAGGTGGGTGTACGGTTAATACAAGGATAACTACGTACATGCAAACCCTGTGTGCCTCATCATCATTTCACGGCCTTGAATGCAAAGTCGGCTTACCTGTGCTGAGTTCTGAAAGAGCAAGCGCTGTGGTGGATGACCGTCAATCTCGAAGGTCGCCACCGACCATCCGCAATTGAGCCCTGCCAAACGCTCCATCTCGAACCGCTCCAGATCCTTACAGTTCCGGAGCTCCGAGATCACAAGAGGCGCAAGGCCGGGCTCTACGACTAGCTGAAGCAGGCCGTTGATGTCAACCTCGGCCATTCCCATTCCGCCGTTCACGCGCCGAACGAAATGCAGCAGCTTCAACGCGAGCGGATTGAGGGGCGTGGCATTGCTCTGTCCAGAGATGATTGTTGGCGGCGCGGCATGACTCCCTTCGGGCCGGTTCTCAGGATGGTCACTAGTGTCAGCCGCAGGAGCTCTTGGTTGTGGTTGAAGTTCATCTTCAGGAGGCCCCTCGTTCACGTTGTTGGGAGTTTCGTCAACGTGAGCTTCACGCACGCGTGGAGGACCGCTCACACTAACGGCGTTGGATGCGTTAGACGCTGTAGGTGAACCGGGAGCAGCTGGAGCGTCCGACAGAATGTCGTGGACGAATAGCGGAGCGTGAAGACCGGCGGTCGGTGCAAATCGCGTCGGCCTTGCCACAGCGGATAGTCCTTGGCAAGGGGTCCGCCGTGACTTATGACCGCCATAAACTTGGGCGTTACGGAACCATCTGTTGCAGAACTCGCAGACGACGCCTGGTAAAGATCCCATGTGTTACGGATTCGTTGTAGAGTCGAGAAATCGCCTATGAAGCTACTAGCCATGATGAAGCTTGTGAACGTATTAAGTACTCCGTTCAAGAAGCCTGTGACAGCTACACGATCATCGCCAATGCGCGCACTGTGGTGGGCGGCTTGTATCACTGCACGACTGGCACTTGACATTGGCGCTAATGTTTAGGACTCGCTAACGACGTCGAGCCGCGTGGTCGTTACCAGGCACGATACAGACCGCCCACCTCACGGGCCGTCTTCCCTACAAGGCGTGTCGCCCCCGTTTAGAGTGACCACGACGTGAGCAGAGGAGAATGCGGAGGATCTTAAGTCTCACGGTCGTGTGTGTGCGTCGCGAGCACGGTGAGAAGGACGTGCCTATTGAATCAAGAACTTGTGTTTAGGAACCGTGCGTGAGAGTCGAGGGGGATGAGGAAGAGCGGGAAGAGATCCGTTTGGATCTGTGATTGTGTCACGAATCGATATAGGGGGGAAATCAGAATCACGTAGGTGAGCTCAAGAGGCTTCAAACAAACATGGAAATGCAAATGTACAATTACAACTTAACAAGACACTCAAGTCATTCATAACTAGTAAACATTCATATCCTTAGGACTGATGTTGAACAACCCTTACTTGATAACGATACGAGAAGTACCCAATAACTCCATGCCCTAACGTATGATTGTTGCGTGGAGCGAATACCTATAGCGTGTCTTCTCTCGAGGTGTAGTGTACCTCTACGTACCGTGCTGAATGAATATGCAAGAATGGATGACAATGTCGTACAATAACACAACGGTTTCAATGTCCATGCAATGTTGGATGCCAATGCAACACCATACCACAACGGATTCACCATGTCGCGCAACCCGCAGGCCTGAAAGCTACATCGTCGCACAGTCTAACCATGGCTGTCGATAACGCATCTACGCTTGTGCGTTGGGCCTGTGCTTCATACAACTCCTTCTAAGCACCTTGTTTAATGTCTGTGCAAGAATGGATGCCAATGCAACACCATACCACAACGGATTCACCATGTCGCGCAACCCGCAGGCCTGAACGCTGCATCGTCGCACAGTCTAACCATGGCTGTTGATAACGCATCTACGCTTGTGCGTTGGGCCTGTGCTTCATACAACTCCTTCTAAGCACCTTGTTCAATGTCTGTGCAAGAACGGATGCCAATGCAACACCATACCACAACGGATTCACCATGTCGCGCAACCCGCAGGCCTAAACGCTGCATCGTCGCACATGTCAGAATGTTATGCTCTAGCCTGTAGTGGGGTGCTCTATAGCGAGTACAACCCTTCTAGGGTTTGCTATTTGTATCCTCATTCCTGCTAGTGAACATCCCTCTCTTTGCCTAAACTGTTTCTTGCTTAGCTAGGCCTTTCCTAGCTATGGCTCCTACTTCTGTCTACTATTCTGACAGCACAGTCTAACCATGGCTGTCGATAACGCATCTACGCTTGTGCGTTGGGCCTGTGCTTCATACAACTCCTTTTAAGCACCTTGTTTAATGTTTGTGCAAGAATGGATGCCAATGCAACACCATACCACAACGGATTCACCATGTTGCGCAACCCGCAGGCCTGAACGCTGCATCGTCGCACAGTCTAACCATGGCTGTCGATAACGCATCTATGCTTGTGCGTTGGGCCTGTGCTTCATACAACTCCTTCCTAAGCACCTTGTTTAATGTCTGTTCAAGAATGGATAACAATCCAACTCCATACCACAACGGATTCAAGTTTGTTACTATTGATAATCGTGTTAAAATGTCGTCCGCTGGCCCTAAACCATTATGGCAAAGCCTAAAAGTGCACAGTACATCTGTCACAAGTAATAATTCTGGACGGTCGTTGTGTGTGTGACGTAAGAATCACCGATTAACTTACCCCAACCCCGTGGTAAACCATTTGCAACTTAGAGTTTGATGAAATGCATTGTTGTATGTTTGAATAAAATTTAGTGATTTATGCGTTGGCAACCGTGATTGGCCGACGCATCTCAAACGATTCCCCCCGCAACACAGTCATCAGCCAAGAGGTACTTCAGCCATTGAGCGGCTGAGATCGAGCGGTAGGTGGGTTTATGCTAGGGTGGCTACACGTACACCGTCCAATATAGCCTGATAGGGTTACATTACTCTCTCTAGTCTCGCAACCCACCCCAACCACCCTCGTGTCCCACCCACCTGCTTCCGTCACTCCCTGGACCAACACTTTGACGCTGCTCGTTGCCTTGACACACTTTAGCGCGAAGCATAGTGGCTACTATGACAGATTTAGTTGAAGCGGCGGTTTTCGAAACCCCTTACAGTGATAGACCGTCGATAATCCCATCGTGGGATTCAGTTGCAGAACCCTTTCGAAACCGGCTCAACCCTTCCGCGCGATTTGCAACTTTGCTCCTCCTACAATTACCGTGACACGTACAACACGTAACCAAGCAATGGAGGAGGAACAGGCCGGCCGCCGCACGACAAGGAGGACGTCTAAACAAATCGATAGGGAGTGTGGTGGCGGCGCTAAAAAAACTAATGCGTCCGTCGCTCGTGGCATTGGGAAGAAGAAAGTGGCGGCAAAAAAGGTCGCGCGCGGTCAACAGGAGGCCGGCAAGAAAGCGGAAGACAAAGGCCCTAAACCAATGCCACGCAAGCGTGTTTCTACAGTGAACAAAGATGCGGATGTTGCCTCTGCTGGAACCGAGCCCGGTCCGAGTAAAGACGGCACCACTGGCGGCAACGAAGATCCGGGGCGAGGGAGCACGAGTCTTGCACTCCCGTCGGCGGAGATGGAGGGATCGGCGACGGAGGGAAATCACGGAGGCAATCCCCGCGCCGAGCATGCCGCAACCAAGGAGTCCGAGGCGGCGGCAACGCAACACCATCTGACGCTGCTCCAGCCGACCGTGGTCGAAGTTTTTGCAGCCGTGCTGGATAAGGACAAGGTGGGGGAGCACGAGTCAGTGGGGCTGGTTGGTGGCTCTCCACCTTCTGGTGGACGGGGGAGGCGTAGGCAGAGGAAGAGCGATGGGGAGGACGATTATGACACCGCCGTGCCCGGGGACCTCATTACGCGGGCGAAGAGGCGGCAGACGACAGGTAGTGCTGACGACGCTGGAGGCGCGGCAGTTGGGACACCGCGAGGCGCCAAGGAAGCTAGTGGCAAGGCGGGCGGTCAAGCATTGCGCCAGAAGGGCCGACCCGCAGCAAGAAAAGCATCCGGCGGAAGGAGAGGCAAGAAAGTAGCGACGGGAACAAAGCCGAAACGGGGCGATGAAGACCCCGGTGATGCGGAGGAGGAGGAGGATGAGGAGGAGGATGCGGAGGGAGAGGAGGATGAAGAGGAAGCGGAGGAGGATGACGCGGATGTTGGGGAGGATGAAAAAGATGAGAATGATGGCGGGGAGGACGAAGAGGAGGAGGAGGAGGAGGAGGAGGAGGAGGAGGAGGAGGAGGAGGAGGAGGAGGAGGATGAGGAGGAGGAGGAGGAGGAGGAGGCAGAGGAGGAGGAGGAGGAGGAGGCAGAGGAGGAGGAGGAGGAGGAGGAGGAGGAGGAGGAGGAGGAGGAGGAGCAGGGTGACAACGAGGAGGAGGATGTGGAGGAGGAGGAGGAGGAGGAGGAGGAGGAGGAGGAGGAGGAGGAGGCAGCGGAGGAGGAGGAGGAGGAGGAGGAGGAGGAGGAGGAGGAGGAGGAGGAGGAGGAGGATGTGGCGCCAGTGAAGGGACGGGGCGGGCGTGGCAGACGGGTGAGTGGTACAGGGAAGGAGGGGGGCCGGACTCGCCCTTCCCGAAAACGCGGGGCAGTTGACGCTGCGGGCGGCGAAGCATCGGGCAAACCAAAGGCGCGTAAGGTGAAGGTCGAAAGTGAAGGGGTTGGTAAAAAGTAAGGGAGCCAGGGAGCAAAAGGGGATGGAGGAGGAAAGGGTGGCCACGCCAAAGGGGTTCCAGTGGGTACCAGCAAGAAAGAACCTGCCGGTAAACGTCGCAGCGTCCGCCAAAGCACCCCGCGGAAAGGTGGCAACGAGAAGGCGCAGGCTGCCCCAAAACTGAAGGGACAGCAGAAAGGTGAGCATTGTGTCCAATAAAACTGGCGTGACGTGTTGAACCATCTGCTAAACTGTGCCAAAAAACACCCTTTTTTCACATTGTTTCTCCCATGCAGGGAAGGAGAAGGTCGACGAATCTGCCAAGCAAGGTAAACCCTCTTGTCTCAAACCAGTACAACCCTGAACCCGATCTAGATTCAAACCTTTCTGAATATGCATGCATGTCTGGCCCCGCCTTGAAACCGATCGACTCTAATTTTTTTTTTTCCGGCTCCCTCTACATCTCAGCCCCTCCCGTTATAGGCATTGGGCCGCCCGTAAGCGTGCAACGAATGCATCTAACGAAGGCCGCCGGAAGAGCGAGTGTTACACCGCTCTCCTCCAGAGCACCAAGGTACTACACGCCATGGGCCGGCCCAAGCATAGTCGCTGCGACGGCACGAGGCGCGCCAAGAGGAGAGGAATCCGAATCCCCTCCACCCGCCCCCGTCACGCAGTCCCCACTCGCCTCACCCTCGTACCAATTTTGGCAACTCCACGTTTCTCCTGTCCGGGGCAGGGCGGTCTCCCCTCTCGCCGATCCTTCGCGCGGGCATCAGGCAGGCAGTTATGCCAATCCCTTCCCTGAGCTCCCCTTTTCCCGCCAGCGTGATAGTGTGAGGGCACACGGGACTGCTGCAGAAGACGTTGATCCCCTTGGCCAGAGGGGGGATTCTTCACACCCTTTTCCTCCGCTCATGGGTGCCCTAGGTGAAAGTGCGGAGCACGAGCATTTTGTTACACGGGAGGAGTTCCAGGCGCTGCGGTCTGAGATGTACGCCATGTTTGCACAGCTCGGCCTGCGTCGTGGAGTACCTGCCAGCTATGCCGGCGGGTCGTCTCAGAATCCCAACCACTAGACCATTGGGATAAAAGGGCTTGTTTAAGTAGCAGGTCAGTGCGCCCATAACCCCCCAGGCAACCGTGCCTGTAACCCTTCCCTAGGATCAATCGGGGATCACCAGTGGACCTCTGACACCCCCCCTCACTGGGATGCCCGAAGTGCACACACCGGGATTCGAACCCGAGACCTTCGCTCTGATACCATCTCAGAATCCCAACCACTAGACCATTGGGATAAAAGGGCTTGTTTAAGTAGCAGGTCAGTGCGCCCATAACCCCCCAGGCAACCGTGCCTGTAACCCTTCCCTAGGATCAATCGGGGATCACCAGTGGACCTCTGACAGGTCGGCAGCCCTGCCTATGGCTGGTACCTCGCCGCCGATGAGCGCCGTGGACAAGGCACGAGTGCTAGTGTTGCAGGAGACAAACCCATTCCCGGTATGTGGCGGGCCACATGGGGAGGGTTGGGGTTGACGTGGCAACAAGGGCGGGGTTGGGGCTGACGTGGCGGTTTCGAAGGGAACACGGGAGCGGCGCGTGACGAGGCGACGTGTATCAGGTGGGTGGGGGGTGACATGGCATGGGGTGGGTGGATGTGACGTGGCAAGTGGCGCGGGTTGTTGGTGGACGTGGCAGATGCGGGTTGGGTGTGACGTCGCAAAAGGTGAGGGTTGGGATATGACGTGGCGGTGTGAAAGGGTGCAAGAGATTGCCGCATGACGGCGCGAGGCGTTTCAGGTGGGTGGGGGGTGACGAGGCTCTTGGTGGGGGGTGTGACGTGGCAAGTAGGGCGGGTTGTTGGCGGATGCTGGGGGGTGTGACGTGGCAGAATGTGAGGGTTGGGGCTGACGTGGCGGTTTGGAATGGTACACGGGAGCGGCGCGTGACGAGGCGACGCGTGTCAGGTGGGTGGGGGGTGACGTGGCATGGGGTGGGAGGGTGTGACGTGGCACTTGGGGCTGGTTGTTGGTGGACGTGGTGGATGCAGGAGGGTGTGACGTGGCACGTGGGGCTGGTTGGTGGACGTGGCGGACAAGGAGGGTGTGACGTGGCACTTGGGGCTGGTTGGTGGACGTGGCGGATGCAGAAGGGTGTGACGTGGCGGAAGGTGAGGGTGGGGGATGACGTGACAGATGCAGATGGGTGTGACGTGGCGGAAGGTGAGGGTTGGGGATGACGTGGCACCCTAAAAGGGTACACGTGAGCGGCGCATGACGAAGCGAGGCGTCTCAGGTGGGTGGGGGGTGACGTGGCTCTTGGTGGGGGGTGTGACGTGGCAAGTAGGGCGGGTTGTTGGCGGATGCAAAAGGGTGTGACGTGGCAGAATGTGAGGGTTGGGGCTGACGTGGCGGTTTGGAATGGTACACGGGAGCGGCGCGTGACGAGGCGACGCATGTCAGGTGGGTGGGGGGTGACGTGGCATGGGGTGGGAGGGTGTGACGTGGCACGTGGGGCTGGTTGTTGGTGGACGTGGCGGATGCAGGAGGGTGTGACGTGGCACGTGAGGCTGGTTGGTGGACGTGGCGGACAAGGAGGGTGTGACGTGGCGGAACGTGAGGGTTGGGTATGACGTGGCGGATGCAGGTGGGTGTGACGTGGCGGAAGGTGAGGGTTGGGGATGACGTGGCGGTTAGAAATGGTACACGTGACCACTGCGCATGACGAAGCGAGGCGTGTCAGGTGGGTGGGGGGTGACGTGGCTTGTGGTAGGGGGGTGTGACGTGGCAAGTGGGCCGGGTTGTTGGTGGACGTGTCTGATGGCGCAGGGTGTGACGTGGCAATTTCAAACAGTGTTGCTAGTCACCATCCCATGGTCACGCGACCACCCTCATAACTGCTGGTTTCTCTCTTCCATGTCGTGTTGTATACCTTACACCCCTGCGCAGAACAAAGCCTACTTAGTGTGCTCTCAGCTCATGTTTCTGAACCCGCCGGAGAAAATACAGTACTACCCTGCACCGGAGGAAGTGTTCGAAGCGTTCTCTGTCCACTTGTCTGCAGAAGGGCTCGAGGCAATGAAGTTGCTGTGGTTGCACAATGACAAGTCAACCATGGGAGTCTTCAACCACCAGCTGTCCTCAACAAGGTCAACTATCAACTCCACCCTCAGGCCAGCAGCATACACCGGCATGGGCCTTGCCGATTACAGCCATCTCGTGGATAGCCTGCCCACTGAGCTACACCCAACGACCTGGTTCGACGACGATCAACTCCTAGCCGAGTACAGAGATGGTATGTGCAGTGCAACTCGAAAACACAATATGCCCTACCATATGCCCCTTGGCAGCTACATATCACCGTGCGATGTGGCTCACCCTGACTCTCATCCCCCCATTTGATTTCTCTACAAAACCCTTTCCAACCCATACCCTCCCTGCCAAAAAGCAGAACAGAGGGCCCTCAACTGGCACTTTGACAAGGCCACCGGGACACCCTTCAGCAACCCCTTGTTCGCTTATGCGTTCAAACTCTCCTTCAAGAGGGGCGGGGCGGTGTTCACCAAGTTCAAGAGCCGCATGGTGGCATGGGGCCTGTTTTCGGTAAGGATGTAGATATGTGTTTGTACCCCCATGCCTCATCCCCTTAACCCCTTGCCTGTACTTCAGCTAAAACCCTGGTCGATTAGGCCTTTGCAGTTACGTAGATAGTGACGACTGCACCACCGCTTTCAGTTGTCTCATTTACCCGTAACCTACCCTCCTCATAAACCATCCACCCAACCCTACACCAAATTGCAGATCGAATGGCCCCTTCTGCAGGATAAGCGTCGCAAGCGAATCAGTAGCCAGCCGGAGCAGAATAGGCCAGACTACCAAGAGTGGTGCGAAAAGGTCAAACAGATGATCCATTTTGCTGTCGTGGAGCGGAGGATCCCCCACGATCCGGCTATGGGTGCGTTCGTCTTTCCGAACAAGTTCCTCATCGACGACGGCGACCTTGGAGATGTCGTCCTTGCCCATCAGGCGCTTTCAAGGGCCGCCAGTGCGTAGGCTATTTGACCTGGTGCTAAGACTGCTTGTTGCTAGAATGCTGAATAATGGTTCTTGTAAACCGCAATAATAAATGCAATTTTGAAATCCTCAATATCCAAAATGAACAAAAACAGAATTTAGTTCTGAATAATTTGGTCACGAATTTGCAACAAAACGGATTGCGCCCGAATGTCATCCGGAAAAGCTCGCGTGCCAAATTGGAACTTGAACCGAGCCAAACCTTGTCGCAAGATGTGTCTCGGAGCTCCTATCAAATGACTCCAACCGTCGGTCCAAATTGGCTCCGGATTTTTTTACGCGAAGACAATCGAAATCAGAATTCGTCCAAACTTGGCATAGGGTTTTTGTGATGCATGAAGCCCCTCCCGCCTTGTCGGGGGCTCTGCGCCGACACCAACATGGGGTATCGCGGTTGGGGGTATCTCGTCTGCTCATTGCGCCCACTGGAAGGCAGAGAGCTGGTGGCGCGGGCCCGGCCCACAGTGGCTTGAGGAATAGGCGCCGGTCGTTGCTGAGGGAAGGGATTGAGGCCGAAACTCTGGCGTGGCGAGTCGGAGTCCCGTGCTGGCCGAATCGCAATGTGAGTCATTGGTGCTGCTGCTGCCGCCGCTGCCATCGCCGCCACAGTCACCGCTGCAGTCGCCGCCGCCCGGCTGCCGCTGCTGAATACTATGGCCCCCTTCCCCCCTCCTCCCCCCGTCCAAATCCTCTCTCACTCCTCCCCTTCGCGCTCATCATTCTTCCCCATTGCTCCCATTGTCCTCTCACCCAATGGGCCCATTTCGCTGGCACTGGCGGCGCTGCTGCAGGTGCAGCGGGCGTGGGGCGCATGGGCGGGCAACAGCAACGCGTCCACGGCGTGCTCTGCATGGGCCGGCGTCACGTGCAGCCCCAAGGGGCTCGTTGTTGCGCTGTGAGTCACGTGTAGTGCTGCACTCGGGGGCATGTGGCTGCTGTGAGTCACGTGCAGTGCTGCATTCGGGGGCATGTGGCTGCTGTGAGTCACGTGCAGTGCTGCACTCGGGGGCATGTTGCTGCTGTGAGTCGCGTGCAATGCTTCACTCGGGGGCATGTGGCTGCTGTGAGTCACGTGCAGTGCTGCACTCGGGGGCATGTGGCTGCTGTGAGTCGCGTGCAGTGCTGCACTCGGGGGCATGTGGCTGCTGTGAGTCATGTGCAGTGCTGCACTCGGGGGCATGTGACTTCTGTGAGTCACTGTGCAATCCTGCACTCGGGGGCATGTGGCTGCCCTTTGAGTTGCTTCTCTGATTCTTGTAACGTGCGTGGGAGTGTGTGCATGCGTGGCTGGTTCCGAGGATGTCGAGGATGCCAATGTCCCATGGATGCACGATTGTCATGCCAATGTTGCTTCCCTGGCTCTATCTCTATGTGTGTGTGCTTGCACATGCATGCGTGCATGTGCGCGCGTGTGTGTATGCGCGCATGTGTGTGTGGCCGTGCATGCATGTGTGAGCGTGAATGCATGCATCCGTGCCTGTGTGTCCATACATGTGTGTACCCCAAGTGGCGCCATACCTGCGTCCATCGCGAGTCTCGCCGCTCTCCAATACCTGTCCGTTCCATCGCCACCCCCGCTTTTCTCCCTCGCACCAACCACCCATTCTCTCCTTCCCCTCCCACCCGTCAACTCCCCCTACCACCCACCCTTTTTTCTGTCGCGCTCGGTGTTGCCCACTACCACCGCCCAGCCCACCATCCCGCATCTTCCTAGGCTTGTTCCCCTCCCGCCTGC